AATTTGAACGACTTTTTTTGTTTTGCAAACAATTAATGGACATACTGTATATACAAACAAATATAAACCAAACGACTATCGCATGTAATTCGACAACAAAGTAACCGCAATAAAAATAAAAACAGTATAAAACTCAGCTGCTTTTTACTTTTTTTTTTTTGTTTTATTTTTTTAACAAAGATAAGCCAAAAGGCAAGTGCAAAAAGTAAAACCAAACGGTAAACCGCTCTCGCTCTCTCTCCCAGACTGACCCCACCATATATGTACATATGTATCTAAGAATATATTACTATATACACTATATACTAAACATACAAATGTCCATCACTGATGGCCCATAACGGCATTATGTATGCTTGCTTATTCCAATTCGAGAGAGCCAAAAAGACGTTCACCTTGATGCCAATTGAGCCCGAACGGCACTCAACTGGCCCAACGGGTTGGCGCTCTGCTGGCCACAATTGTTATTGCATACCAGCTCGAAATTAGTTATTTCAAAAAATTGCCCGAAAAACTCCGAAGATATCTTGTTTGAATTATACTGTATAGTCACTAGGGCAGCTTTGACGACAAACGGGATTTATGTGGATTACTATTTGGGGGATCGATAGATAATCATCACAGATGCTTGATAATACAATTAATGCATTAATTATATTCGTAGAGCAGATCCATATTCATATATGCACTTATGTATTATATATGTATCTATATGTTTTATGATTTCAGCATCTATTTTACATTTATGTCTCTATATCTATAAATTTTTGTATAAACTTGATTTTCTAATATCAACAAATCACAAGAAACTTATCTCGAATTCTTTCTCAAATATTTTACTTACTGTAACGGCTCTGGTTTATTAAATTAAATTTAATTAAATTAAATTAAAAACAAAAAAAAAAAAGAACTTAAAATGTACTTCTTCAAATTTTTATTAGGTATATGTATATATCATATATAAATCACAAACAAATTAAAAAACAAAACGCTTTAAAGCAACTCTAACAATATGTTAGATATAACTCTAAAGTATATTCATAGAATATGTATTAAAAAAAAAAAAGAAGAAAACATATCTTCATTATTTCTTCTCTATTCAGTTCAGTTCAGTTTGCTTCTCTTTTCAGTTCACTGCCTATTCATAGGCATATTTTGAGTAAGCGAATACAATTTAAAAACTTAAGCTATTGGTTAAATTGTTAGTATTTCTTGTTTTGTATGCATCTGAATAAGGGGACCAAAAAAAAAAACCTAAAGTGCATTTCTTCAAGTTGCTAATACAAATATATATTAGATATATATCTATAGATGACATAAGGATTATGAACAAATTAAAAAACAAAAACAACAAACTTTAAAGTAATGCTAACATTATGTTAGATATACTATATAAAGCTCTAAGGTATTCACAGAATATGTATTAAAAAAAACAAACAAATTAAAATGATCGTCATTATTTTGAACCCTTTCATTGCTTCTCCATTCAGTTCACTGCCCATTCTAGGCATATGTTTAGCAAGCAAATAAAAATTAAAAGCCTAAGTAATTATTGATTAAGTGGTTAGTATTTTTAGTCTTCTTGGTCTGTGTTGTGTGTTGTGTGTGTGTGTGTGTGTGTGTCTAGTTGTGACTAGCTTCTGAGTGTTACATGGTAATTAAAATTTGAAAATAAAATGTGATTCATTCTTATCAGCAGCAACAGGGATCGTGGCCAAGTGTTTCACTTGTCCAGGAGTCCGAATTGACGCATCTTGTTCAGGTAAAATCGCTCAAGAGTGTTGGCACAGCGATAGTAATCGGTATTGGGCTCGTTGAAGGTGCGGCAATTGGAAAACATACGCGCCATGTCGGCCATGAAGAGGCGACGCGTTTTATAGTAGCCACGCTCGAGGCGCTCCCCAATAGTCTTCAGGTCCATCGGATATTTGATATGAACATAATACTCGGGCACGTCTTTGGGATCGACGGGCGATAGGAATGGCCAGGCAGTGGTTTGGCGTCGCATCGCCTGCAGCACTGCCTCAAATATACTCTTTAGATGGACAGCATTTGATCGTTCTTCGACCCGAGTCGACGAAAAATTCGGCTGCCAGCCGATCTCTTTGAGGCCCGGTATCGAAGCGATCGGTATGGCGGCGACACCATGCTTGAAGCACGTCAGGCCGGTACGCACCCTCTCCACCTCCTTCTGGCGCTGTGCAATCAACTCCGTAAGGACTTCTTTTTGCATTCGTATGGTCGATGCGAAGTGGGTATGCACAATGCCCGAATGGAGCTCGCAGTGCATTAGAGTAGCACTATCGTACTCCTTGATGTAGCCCTCGTAGACAGACCGTGCCAGACGTATATTGCTCGAGAAGCCCTGCTTCTTGAAATAGCCAATCGCATTGCAGTCGGCATAGGCCAGCAAATGCATAACGCCGTTGTCCATGATGTGGTCCTTCAAGTGATTCATCATATAGCTGCCATAGCCCTTCACCTGCTCCGGCATGGAGATCGCACAGAACACAATCTCTGTGAAGCCTTGGGTGGGAAACGAACGAAAACAAATACCACCAATAGCCTGACCCTTCTTAGACAACACGATCGTCTTGTGCTGGGGATCGTACAGCAGTCGGCTTATATAAGTGGGTGGCATCTCAGGCAGCTGTTGCCCGAATATCGATTGGAGAGCAACTAGAAAGATCTTAGTCTGCCTATCAATATCCATTGCCAATGAGTTGCCAATGCAATGGAGTTCAATGATGCCACACCGCTCCTCGTCTTTCACGATCTCATCTTGGGGTTCACTTAAGGGATTCAGTACTGTATGATTGATGGCAGCCTGCGACTCCTTTACAGCATTCATGGCACGATTAACCATATCGATCGGCAGATCATTTTCCTTATTATTAGCATTGCTTGTAGTCGCCTTACTACTACTATTCCACATTTTTTTTTTCGTAACTAGGTTGCCCAATAATAACCAACAAATTTGAGTAATCGAGAAATATAATAATAATAATTAATATTAAAAAAAAAAATAGATTGTATTGCTAACCAAGATTTGAAGAACTAGGGCTACAAAGGTACAAAACTACAAACTAAATGAAAACACTACTATCTACTTATACTATTAATTAACAACTATTTACGAATTGGTAATCGTCAGATTTACCATTTACCATTCGCGCCATTGCACAATAATCTTTGTGGAGGTATCAAAGATCAGCTAAATGGCAAATGGCTAACGGACATTTAAGTTCCCGTTTCATGTGTTGCTGGCGTCTCACTCTTCGTTCAAAAGACTTTCGCTTTCAGCTGGAGACATTAGCAACTTCATTAGCAGCCCGCAGCATTACGGTCAGAGCTGTTGTATGTACATACATACAAACATATAATATTTGCATATACATACATATGTGCAATAAATACAAATACAAAAGAATGTATATTCTTTTATATTTATCCAGTTATTTATTTATCATTGCTAACTTCAGCATTTAATCAATTGTGCATCGCGCATAGCAAACATTTGTAATCGCTATCATAATCGCCGTGCACGAACAAACTGTTTTTTGAACAGCCAGAGCACGAGTAAGTGCTGAAGAGAGTAAGTGAGCGAGAGAAAGAGAGAGAGCAACTCTCTGACAGCTGACAGAAGGAAGACTGTGGATTGCTGCATGTGTTAGCTGGTACGTTCACCAACACACTCACACAGCTGTGCAACGGAGGAGGTGGCAATAGAAGAAATTTACTTTGTATGCTTATGTGCATGTGTGCGTGTGCTGTTACGTCACAGCGCGCGCTACATTTAAGTTTCGAGACAACTGCAAATATTGCACGATGCGATCTAAATTCGAAATCGATCGCATAAGCTAAAAAAGAAAAAAAAACACAGATTTAAATACCAACAGTCGCACACACATACGCACGTGACCACTGTCTCTCTCTCCGTGGATTGGTGTGTGTGCATTATAGCAGTTAAAGGTTGATTAACGAATGGAGCTGCAGCCACTGATAAACTGGCCCCGCACGTTCTTAAATTTGTTGATAAGTATTTGTATGTTTGTATATACTAAAGTCAACTACAGCAACAATTACACTATGTTATGTATCAATATATATATATGTATATATTTGTTTGTATTTAATAATTGTACTTACTGCTCTATATTTGAGGGCTGCGCCAAAAATTCCAAATGCAAATGCAAACAAGTGTAAGCCGGTATATACAAAAGTCAACGGAATGTGCGAAGCTGAAACAGAAATCGGCAGTAAATAAACGATATATGCTATTATTATTTTTCTCTCTTTTTCGGAAGTGTAATCACTGTTTGAATAAGCCACACACACGCACAGCATAACATGACAAACGGAATTATATAGTCGTATTTATCGCAGTCAAATTATCGTTTAACATTTCGCATGCCGTCCGTGCTTGCAACATCGGAGAGAGCGATGCACAATCAGAACAGCTGTTAATAACGGCATAATTGAACAATCAAAATCATCGTTGACAACGACGATGGCGACGGCGGAGACGTCCACTGAGCGCAGTTGGCGAATCCATTAGCATAACAATAATGCGAATATGTCCAGCACTTTTATTCATTGAATGCACAAACATAACATAACAAGAAAAAAATGAATGCTGTAGCAAGGAACCGCACGACAGCGTTATTTAATCACATATTAAAGAAACATGTTTTTGTTTCGCGGTGTGTGCAATAATGGCTTAGCGCTCATGTATTGCATGATTGGACTGTAATTGAGTTAATGTTTATTTAATAATACGCTTATTATTTACTTCTTTTTGTCGTATTGATATTGAATAAAAAATAAACAACCAAAAAATGCGCACGTCCGCCCGCAGACAACTTGTTCGCACGATTAAAGTTTCGTTTCCTTCATGGCACCATCAGTGGCAAACGATTGTTGAGCTTTTCGATGTACTTACTAATCGATTGTTGTTTATGATCGAGTATGTTCATTTCTCTTACTTTCAAGTATCGAATACGTATGAATGAACATTAAAAATAAATGATTCGCATTAAACATAAAAACTATCGAAGATGGATGTAACGCAATGTTACATCACAATTATTGCAAAACGCATTAAATACATATAAAACAGCTGTAAAGTGTGTACACAGCTGTTAGTGTGTACACACTGGCTTTCACACTAGCCGCTACCTAGTGTGTACCCAACAGATTTAATTTGTCTACTATTTATACGCAGTAAATAAGGAAAAATAAAGAAACGTCGTGAATTAAACAACAGAGGTGTGTAAGTAAACTAAATGCCACTCGTATATGGATCTAATGCTTATTCATATTCGCTGTGAATTTATTTTAGGACAATAGCATTTGCAGCAGCTGTTGCACGCTCTGAAGAGATCAAAACAAATACCACGTGCAGCCGACATTTGCAACACGCAAAGCAGATTCTCTAAATTTCGTTTTCATCAGCTGTTTCTATCACAAACACCTCAAGATGGGTATGGTACAGAAGCGTAAGAAGATGCACTATGGCGATACGCACCTTCAGCGTCGCTGGCGTGTGCGTAACCGGCGCAGAGATTTGGACCAGATCGACGACGATATGCGCAATCGCAGCGGAGAGCTGATCAACCAGAGCGTTGACTTGGATAAGCCGGGCTTTGCACAGTTCTACTGCGTGCATTGTGCCAAGTACTTCATCGACGACAGATCCATGCAGGCGCACTTTCGCACTAAGGTGCACAAGCGGCGTCTCAAGGCACTCGAAACGGAGCCATACAGCATTGAGGAATCGGAACGGGCGGCTGGCCGCGGCAGCTTCAAGCAGCCCAAAAAGCGCGTCATTGAGACACAACCTAGCAAGGAGGAGGCCAAGGCTGGCAAACGTATCAAAATTGAAGAAAAGACCGAAGACAGTAGTGCCATGGAAGAGGATGCGCCCACAACGTCCGCGAAAAAGACACGAAAAAGAGCTAAGAAAACGGAAACATGAACCAGTGGCAAATAATAGGAAAACTAAGGATCTACTAGTTCGATAGATAATTCATATATCTTTTTTTTACAAGATTGAAAAATTATATAAATATATGCGTATGTATGTATATAAAATCAAAAATATATTTAACGGATGTTAAATTTCCTCTATGTTTTCTATTTAGATTAACATTAAACCAAGGCTGTAAATAACTAAAAGGGCATGGGGCTTTAAATTTCCTTAGTGTTCTCATTAGTGAAGGGATCAAACCAGGGCTGTGAGCTACTTTGGGAATTAGTGTGGTTAATGTTCAGCTCCGACCCTTAATGCTTCTCTGTTCCGTTTGCAAAAAGCTTAAATAAAGAATACATTTTTTTTCTCATTCTATACAAATTGTACGGTATAAATATATTTGTTTTCTGCAGACATGATCTGCTTATGCATATGTTTATGTACACATACTTAAATAATATATACAAACTAAGAGATATACGAATAATATTTAACAACTTACAATTAAATGGTGGAGCAGAACTAGCTGCTCCTGTTTTCATAATTAATTTCTATTATTAATTAAGTACTAAAATTTCAGTTTTATAAACTATTTTGTCCATTTGTGCTTTGCATTTGGTTTGGTAAAAAAAAACGAGTTTTTTTTATTATATTAATTGTAAATTTAATGTATGTATTTTTTGGTGTACATAAAATTGGTTTTAGCCGAAAAGCGAACGGGTTTTGATTTGGATATTGAGTATATATATATAGATGAACGCTAAAAACAATTCTGAGGTATGTAATTTCTTTTGTTTTTGTTTTGTTTCTATATGTAAATAAATCCTTTTTTCTCTTTTTTTTTTTTAAGTTTTCCGACCGTTATTGGGCGACTAATTAAGGTTTTTTTTTTTTTTGTGCTGCTATGTGTAGTCCTCTGTATGTATACGGATATGTATGGAGTCGGATGAGAACTGGGGCAGTGTATGTATGTGTGTGTAGAATGGTTTTGTGTGTATGTGAGTGCACACGCCCGTGCGTGCGTGTGCGAATGTATATATTCATATATATACGACTATTTTCATCACTGTATTTCTTAGCCAAAACAAAAAAAAAAAAAAAAAAAAAAATATATATATATATATATATACATATATATCTGTCAGAGGACTTTGTATACATGGGTTATGTTTCGACTAGTTTTCACAGTTTGTGTAGAGTTGGTTGCAGCTGCTCAGGATTGGACGCAACATTTTGTGACGTCCCGTTTTTGGTAGCGCGCCTGCGCGTCTGTTGCTTGCCAGCTGCCTTGACCGATGGTGCAGCTGTGGCAGCGGTAGGAGCAACGGCAGCGGGAGGAACAAGGCGTACAGTTGGTGCGGGCGGATCAGGCGTCTGATGCTCCATGGTAAAGAATGGATGATTGAGCGCCTGCTCGGCGGTAATACGCTTGTGGGGGTTTATTTCGAGCAAGCGTCCCAGCAGATCGTACGCGCTCGCTGGAAAGCATTCGTATGGGTCCAGTGGCTCCGTTACATAGACGCAATCTTCGCAGAGGCAATTGAAGAAATATTGATCACAGTTCTTGCACACTTCGATCCGGCCGTCAGGCGACTCGTGTTTGCGCACCATCTCTTGGTCGCTGAAGATCAAACGATTGCGGAAACGCAGGCAGAGCTTGCGGAGGTTCAATGGCTTCGATCGCTGGCTGAGGGTGACCATGCGATCCAGTGCCAGCGCCGTCTTGCGTATGGCCCGATCCCCGAAGATGGTCACAATCTCGGCCAGGGCAACAAAATCGTTGGGCGCCTTGAAGAACGGATAAACGGCAGACAGTATGGAGAGAAAGATGACGCCCGCCGCCCAGACATCCACAGCTGTCGTCTGATCCGCATACTTGAGCAGCACCTCCGGCGGACGGTAGCCCGGAGTGCCGGCACGCGAGGCGTGCACTTCCTTCTTGGTAAGGCAATTGATGCAAACGGAGGGGTTCGCAAAGCAACAGCATTTCAAATTATTGCCGCCGCCAGCCGCGCGATTTGTATTGTACTTGGTCCCAGTGGCGGTGCTAGCGGGAGCAACTGGCGGCTCCTGCTGCACCAGCTGCGGCTGGGCAGCTGGCCCCTGTTGTGGCTGTATGGTGCTGTGGGTGGGTGATACAACTGGTGCTGCCGCTCCACTCCCCTCTGGCAAACTCTGTTTGCCATCGTTGAGCATCAGTTCTCCGGCAGCCTTGGCGCTCTGCGCTATCTCGTTGACCGGCTTGAGTGGCATCTTGTTCCAGGTGCTGGCGTTCGATTCCTCAATCAGGCGCATGCGCTTGACGCCACCACCGGCTGTAGCCTCTGGGGAAGCTGGTGAGAGCTGTTGCTGCTGCTGCAGCTGTTGACGCTGTGGATGTGGCTCACGCTCGCGCGGACGCTTGCTGTTGCCTGTCAGCTGCTGCTGCTGCTGCGCCGGGTACTGCCGCTGCTGCTGTTGTTGTTGGGGCGCATGGCCGGCAGGGACATTGACATGCTGTGCCAGCCCAAAGTCAACGAGTAGAAACTGGCCCTTGCGACGATTGTACAGAAAATTACTGGGCTTCACATCGCGATGGATGACGTTGAACTTGTGTACATGGCGCAGGGCCAACAACAGATTACGCATATACAGGCGAATCTCCGGCACATCCATTTTTGTGTAGAAGTCGTGGAAGCGATCGTGCGGCATGTAGGGCATCACGAAGGCCGCCGATGCATCACAGCGCAAGCAGCAGTTGATGCCAACGACATTGTCGGTGCCTCTATAAAAGAAATAAGACAGAGTATTAGATTATATGATTGATGAGTAAAAGGAAGAGAGTGGGCCTAGAAAAAGTGCGAGGAATTAGAGGTACAGATGACTGCTGAGCGGCAGAGAAAAGTGAAGTAATTAAAGCTTATAGTGCACGGTCCTAAGTCAGACAAGAGCACTTACAAAAAGAGCCATAAGATTATTCTCTTGTCAAACGAGAGAGAAGCATGTGCGTTTGGAATGTGCTAATGTGCGAATTCTTTGGCAAGTTTCGCCCGTTCTATTGTTAACAGTTCCATAAATAAGTGAATTTTATATTAATTGAATTAAGAGAGAAACTCGAGAGGAGCTACTGGCTCGGTTGGTCATCCATTCACCGTCTTCTCTTTCTAATACCCCACAGCGCTGGCTGGAGAGGGGTCGCCCACGTCGTTGGATGAGGGTCGACGTCATTGCAATGATTATTAGCCAACCAGTGCGCACGACTCGAAATCCCCGTCGTTCCCATATCATAATTGTTAAGCGCTGTGACGCAATTCAGCAACGGAATTTGCGCAAATTGAATGGATAAGGACAGGAATATACACTCACACATCGCATATGAACAGCAACAGAGTGAACGAGATAGAGAGCGAGAGAGGGAGCCGGCTGACCGCCTGACTAATGTTATGTTTAGAGCAGCCAATCCCCACCCATCCCAGCCAATCGCCCACCTTGTCGACCCACGCAGAGAGCGCTGTCTGTTCCACCATCTCCTTCTCTGGCTCGCCTGTTGGACATAAATAATGCCAGCAGAGCAGAAAATAGGGGAGCAAAGTGAACCCTACTGAAATTCAAGCCGGCTGCCATTTAGTATTTAGGCATATTTTTTGCGATAACCTTGCCCAAGGTAGTTCAGAGCGGAATTGAATGATTCGTCTACGTCATCGACAAACATACACGAACACAAATGTGTGTATTGCTTATCTAATCTGAGCCAGGCAAACTGAATAGTATCGATAGTGTGCAAGTACCCACCGGCACTGTAATCGATACTTATTGGAAGGATATGCAAAACAGCTACAGCAATTCCAAACAACCCACTTTGTGAAGATAGCACTGCCCTAACACATATGTACATATGCGTGGACTTGCATACACATACATACATGTGAGCGTGTGTGTGTGTGTGTCTGTCTGTTTAAATCTATCTATATGAAATTGCTTGCATGATTTGTAAACAAACGTTACACGAGAAATGATTGGCGAATGCGAGCGACCGAACGAGGAAAAGAGAGGCTGGCGACCATGTAACTGAGAAGGTAGCTAGCACGTGAATGGTGTGTGAAAGTGCAATAAACGTCAGACCAATGGCAATGGGAGTGGGAGTGGGAGCAGGAGCGGGAATGAGAACGCCAACGGCAACTTGAAATTAATTGCAATGACGTATGTATATGCCGTTGGCACGTAGAATCGAAGAGTCGTCTGCGGCAGCCGGCTGACGTCGTTCGTGACGCTCTCTCAGTGAAAAGGCAGCACACACACACACACATACACATGCAGGCGTATTTATATACAGATATGACTCGCTGAGAAATTATTTACATTTTTTGTCTTGCAATTGGTAATTATAAATTTGTATATTGATAATATTGGAATATGGTAGACTTACCCCATGTCTGTCATGCACTGCAGCTCCTTCATAATGCGATCCGGATGGCTGGTGGGTATGTGATGCTTGATAGCAAACTTGCGCCGCATATTTTCCGGCAGCTTTGCTTCCCGCTTGAGTGTGGCCAGAAGCACAGTGCTGAAGGTTCCATTGCCAATTCGACTCTGCACATCAAATATTTTCCCAATGTCCGGTATACGCTGCAGCAGATCGTTGATAGCCTCTGAAAATTGAAATTGTCAATATATAATAACAAAATGGCAGCTTTTGTTAAATCTGAAAACACTTGCCCCCTCCCTCTTCCACTCACTGTCTTATGCATAAAAATAGATTTGAATAGGAACGAATACACACACACGCATAATACGCAAACTCTCACACACACTTAGTAAATTCAAAATGGTTGCCTTACCGTCGCTTTTGTTGCGTGGCTTCGTCCTGTAATTCGCGGCATTTGTTGCATATTGTTCGCTTGGCGGATGCTTTTGGATTTTCATAATGCCATTGTAGTTGTTGTTGTTATTTTGCTTATTATTCGCAATGTTTGCCGTCGCTGTGGCTGCCAAAGCGGCCATATCTGCTGCTGCTCGTGCGCGTGCAGCTGAAATGGTTGCAATATTTGCTTGCATCGTCTGCTCGTCCTGGTGCGGCCAAGAGTATATGCCTTTGTTCGCGGTCGGCTGCACGTTTACGCTCATGCCTCGAAATGTGGCCGCTAACTTTGGACTCGAGTTGCCATCCACTGCAACTACTACGGCTCCAGTAGTATTAATAGTAGGAGTTGTTGTTGTTATGGTATCGATAGCATGCTGATGTTGCAGTTGCCTCAGTTTGGCTATGCTTAGCCTATTAGCATGTGCACCGGTTTTGTTGGCTGGACCAGCCGGCATAGTCGCGTTTTTGCAGCGCCCATTACAGGAATTGACGCGCTTCTCCATTTCACGAGCTCTCTTCTCCCTCAACGCAATCAGCATAAGCATCAGCCGAGCTGGCTTTAGCAAATTCTTGACCGTTTTTTTTTTTTTTTTTTTTTTTTTTTTTTGAATTGGCTCGCCGCGTTTAGATGGAATGGCCTTTTTTTATATTTGCTTGCTATAAATACATGGAAATTTAGTCCGAAATCGCGATAGAAATTGTACGTCTCTAATTTAGTTTATTACAAATTTGGAAATTTTATTTTGTGTAATATATTTTTTAAGTGCCGAACTGTTGAGCACTGTAGTGTTAGTGAGTGTAGTGTTAGGGCTTTTTTTCGCCTTTTACAGTAGTCAAAATTTGAATCGCTTACTTACTTTTCGTTTTTCAGTCAATCTTGATTCCGTTTGTCTTCGTTTCTGTTGCTGTCGTTCCCGCTGTCCCTCGCCTTGGTAGACCGATGTTAATTTTGGCGAATATCAGCGGGATATATTTCGCTCTTTTTACGAGCTTTCCGAATTATTTATTTTTATTAAATGCGACAATCAATCAAGTTACTTAGTCTGTGGCTGCCAGGCCATTGCAATTCTTCGACAAATCGGCGATGGCGACAAATGGCGACCAGCTGATGAGGACAGTGATGCCCACGCAGGTATATCGGTTGGATGCATCGTTGTCCATCGATAACTTTGTGCACTGAAGACCGCGAAATTTAAGCACCCGATTCAATTATATTAATTATGAATGGATACATTTAATAAACTGACGCTAAACTACAAATTTAAGCACGCAATTCAATTTTAATAATTATGAATGGATACAAGTTGATAAACTGACACTAAATTATGACTAAAGATGCATACAGCCATAAATTATAACATGACATGAAAATTATTGAATACAAATGTGGACTAAAACATAAAAATGTGGTTAAAACAGAAATAACTAATAAAGAGAACAACGCCAGCGCTAACATAGAAATAGAAATACAATAAATAATGAATATTCAACGCCTTGATTCGTTGGCCAACAGTGGCATACCCACTGTATAGGTAGCTGTGCTGGTATCAATCTGATTAGGATCGTCGCAACGGGCACAGGGTCCCAGTAGGCGCAGCATGCGAGCAGCCAGGGATTTCTTCCTTTGGCCAATGTGCGCATTGGCCGTGTAGTGCAGCATGCTGAACTGGCTTTGGTTGATTGAGCTGCCTTTGCTCGACTCATGCGGATTGAGTGGCACCAGCTCAATGACCCGATTGCTGTGCTTGTCAAAGTAAATCAATCCTTCACGTTGTCCCCACTCTCGCATGGGTCCAAAATTGACTCCCGGTGAACGCAGCTCGTTACCCTCTATCTCAATGGCTGAGTCATTGCTGCTGGGATGACTGCTGCCTGAGTGGTTTGTGGTGGCGCCATTAGTGCCAGTTGGTTCCATGCTGACTCCAACTGCAACACCAGCTACAATTAGCAAATGGTTTTTAATTGCTCATTATTATTTATTGATATTTATACTTAACGCTTGTCCAGTGACATCACCGTCTGCACTGTCGTTGCTGAAGTTTAGGGACAAACGCTTTATTATCCCGCTCTTCTTGACCGATTTGGTCAGTTTCAGTTGGTGAGCCGCCGGCTGCACGCTGAGCAGCGGTATTTCAATAGAACCGACGCTGCTATCGTAAGTGATATCATTCAGATTTGTGTCTGGATGCGGTGTTGCATTTGCCGCTAACGCGGGCAAATTCGAAAGATTGGATAAATTGGCCATTACTGGCAAATCCGTTTGTGTGGCGACGCTCTCATTGGGCGGACAATAGACGAGCGAGCGCAGCGATTGGGCAGCAACTGGAGCAACTGCTTGACGTTTAAGCTTGTCCTTGCAATCGGTTAGCTCCGTTCGTATGACCTCGAAGTTCTTTCGCAGGACAAGATTATCGTTGATCTTCTTGTAGAGCCTGCTCTCCAGGTAATCATTGTACGACTGCAAGTGATCTTTCTCGCTGACCAATCGCTCGTAGCTCTCGTCGCGTACGTGCATATCTGTGCTGCTGCTATTGGCCAGAGAGAGCGAATGATCTATTTTCTGCTGGTCATCGGTGCCGCCTCGGGGCGTCAGCGATTCGGGCATCGACCGGTGCCTTTGGAATGTGCTTGCTGAGGTGCGACGCTGTTTTTCCTGATCGTGTATGTCCGCAATGTACTTGCTCACTTTACTGGTCACGTGCTTGTACGTTCGCTTCGTGTACGCCGTGTGTATGTCCTGATAGGAAACCGCTTTATTGCTGCGCCCACTTCCCAGCTGTAGGTGCGTATCGGTCACCCCATTGCTGCCTGCAATAACGTGTATGAATCATAACGATTATGGATAATGCTGCCACTCACTACGTTTGGCCCCGCTTTCCGTGTGCTCCATGCCGAGAGGATCGCTGGAGCACGTTTTTTCTGAGCAGTCACTGTTTAAAAATGGCGACACTTGGCGCTCAATGTTATCGGGTACACCAAGCCCCAAACACATGCTGTATTGAAGCTGAAAACTTTGACTATTGCCATCGCTGGCTGTAGTAGCGTTTAGTTGGTCAAACAGTTCATCTGTGGGAAAGCTTTCGTCTTGCAGACTCATATTTTATATTGGACCAATTAGAAAATCTAATGGCGCAAAACTGGAAAAGCACCGTTAAGTTGCAGTATTGCCAATACATAAATACCATGACAATAGGTGTTTCGATTTTCACTATCATTCGATAGGCCATACATTTTTATTTAGTATTTCAGTATTTAATAAACGCCGTGATAAGTATCGTGATAAGTATCTCAATTCTCTAAGTATCGATATTTTCAGAGGACACATCCATAAGCCGGCGTCATTATTGCTCGAAGTTTCTACGATTCAGATATACAAATTTTTGTAAAAGCCTGACGCTTATAAACTTGAAGAAAAATGCCCGTCGAACAAGTAAGTAGACAAAGAGGGATGAATTAAAATAAACTGAATGTAAAAACGTGTCAATTGCCACAGCTAAAGGCCGAAGTCGCCGAGTGCACTGCACTGTTGGAGCTAGCAAAAACTGCGCGTGTAAAGAGCGCGTTAACCCAGGCTAAGGCTGAAGCCGAACGCGAAATTATTAACCTAGAGATAAAAGCACGCCTGGCAGCCGAGCGAAAAGCTGGTCCAGAAAATAAGCGGTAAGCATTTAAAAATTTAATTTTACTATATTTATATATATAAACATATATGTGAACTGAAATATGCCCATCAGGTATCTACACGAGCTCACAGACTACGGCTGGGACCAAAGCGCCAAATTCATTAAGCTGTTCATAACGCTGCCCGGCGTTCAGAACTGTGCCGAAGAGGCAGTCACGGTTCACTACACGGAAAACTCAATGCAGTTGTATGTGAGCGATCTTAACGGCAAAGATTTTGGGCTCACCGTCAACAATCTGCTTTATGCCATTGATGTTGAGAAGAGCTATCGGAAGCTGAAGACCGACATGGTTGCTATCTATTTGAAGAAGGTCGAGGAAGGTAAGAACTGGGACGTGCTGACATCTATACAGAAGCGTCTGAAACAGAAAGAGGATAATGAGTTGTCTAAGAATAGTGAAAATCCTGAGGGTGCATTGGTCAACATCATGAAGAAAATGTACAACTCCGGCGATTCAAAGACAAAGCAATTGATTGCTAAGGCTTGGACCGAGAGTCAAGACAAGGCCCGTTTTGGTATGGATAATAGTGGTCTGAGCAGAATGGATGATCTGTAGGCTAGTAGGATTAGTTCAGAAAAAAAAAGGAAGAGTTCTAATGAAGAAAAATATATAAACAATAAATATATGTATATTCCATAAAATAAATCGTTAACTTTTATGAATTTAAGATTTAAGTTAAAGTTCGCTTTTGTGAACCAGTGAACCAGCCTAGCGATGATAACCGATTCGACTATCGAATTTGTGAACGAATGAAAGCTTGGTGCTACGACACTTGCACTATTTGCATTTAACGTATTTTTGAATTCCAGAAGAATTTTATCGCCTGATTATTGTTAATTAGTTGCAGATGCACATGCTAATTTACCTTGACGACAGGTGAGCACAATGCGTACGTATCTGCATACGTCGCAACGAGTTCGTTTCTATATCAGCTCCACTTCTATAATTAAGCAATATTTTGCCTGTCAGACTATTTCCTGCAGTTAATTTGCTTTGCTAGGTCTTGACGTCCAGATTGAGTGTGTGTAATAAAACTCGAAATTGTGTGCGTTTTTCGTTTTCTTTTATCGTTTAGACTTTATTTATATATTTATTAAATTCTCGTGATTAAAATCAATATATTGTGGTTTTACACACACAGATATTTTTCTCGTTATCTATTTGTAATAGTTAGTTTGCTTTTAAATGATTTAATAATAATTAATTGTATTTAAAATACATTTTCATATATATATGTATATGTGTTGCATTACATCAATTTCCAAAAACAAGAATTGAAATAGAGCTCGAGGAAAAGAAGAAATTGCCTTTGGGTCAACACAGCAACATATGCAAAAGTATCTGTCAGATAGATTATCATCTTATGTGCGTGTTGTGTAAACAATTAAATTGTCATTTTGCTGAAATGAAATTTGTCGTATTATTGTTTCGATTTGATCTACATATGTTGTTTTCCTTTTCTTATTCTTGTTTTTGTTGTATATATTGAATATATATATTTATATAGTTAGGAGCTTAGGCTCTTAGATATAGCAGAGAATAATCGCATACATATTAATGTTGTTTGTTTGCCTTGGATACATTTTGTTTAACAGAAACTTGACTTGAAATTATATATATATATATGCTATATATTTATATATGCTGCATTATAAAGGTACGACGTACTAAACTTTGCTATTACAAAAAGCAAAAAAAAAAAAAAAAAAAAAAAAAATTACATATATATTTAAAATTATGCTAATGTTTTGTGGTCAAATGAAATATATATATATAAATATATATTAGGCTTTTACATAGTTCGGTTATGGGTTTGCTTATGTGTTGTTTTTCTTGTAGATATATGGGGATTATATATAGTATAAGAAGCATTACACTTAAAATTCGAAAACTTTTTGTGACCTTTATATAAGTACTATATATAGTTCCGATTTGGGGGCATAATATGGAAATTATCTTCGGTTTTTGCCTGACCTATGTAAAGCACCAAAATTCATTCATGAAGTTCTTCGACAGCTGCTCTAACAATCCTAACTAATGCTCAACTGTGCTTATTTTAACTATTATTATTGTTGCTTGTAATTATGATTTTTGAGTTTGTTTAGGTCTGTTCCTTTCTTATGTTTTGTATACCTTTACGTCGCCGTGTAAAATCGTAATTTTGTTTTTGTTTAAAATTTTCTCATTTTATTCCCTCGTTTTTCACTTTGATGGCTTGCGTATAAAAATAAATTTTCCATTTTCTTTTTAAGGCTATGCTGGAAATAATTAAGTACGCATACATGTATGAACACACACACTCACACACATGCACATGCACATACACATACATATACACAGATGCATGTTCTACAATCAGTCCTAATTAGTTACCTTTTATTACATAAACCCAATTAATTAGGCGAAACTTCTTTCCTTTCTCATTATTTTTTCTATTTACAAATTGTTTCTCTCTCTTTCTTCCAGCATGCCATGAGTGTGGGTGTGTGTTTGTGTATGCGTACACTAATCGTAAAACTTCTAGAAAATTATGCGCTTTCTATGTTTTTTTTTTAATATATATATTTTTTTTGTATTTTCTTTGTTTTTGCTTCTAAGATCTATCACGAGAGCAATGCATCAGAGTTCCATTAGAATTTGTATGCCAAAAAAAAACCAACTATCTTATCTTTAGGTTCTATTCGAAAAAAATCCGTATATATGTATGTATATCCGTATATAGAAGAGGAAACGTTAAAATTGTAGTTTGAAAGTCTCAATTTTGGATTGTAAATGTTTGGTTCTCGACGCATCGCAGGGCACAGGCGCAGGCCGCAGTCAATCACGACGAGTAGCGAGTGGCGAGTAGCGAGTGGCGAGTGGCGAGTGGGGTACTCGCTAGACGAGCGAGTAGAAGGAGTAAGTCATTGACTTCTTTAAGGGAGCTAAGCTTTATTGGTTACTCGCTAGATAGAGGTGTAACGAGTAGCGAGTGATTCACTCTCCAGGAGAGCTTAGCTGAGGCTAATGGAAGCATGGCTGCAGTACAGCTCTTGGGCACCGCCTCTACGCGTTAGTCGTGAAGAGACGAAGCAGCTGACGTGATAAGAGTTAAGCGTAAGAGTTTAGCGTAGAGCAGAGAGCGTTCAGCGCGAGCACGCGGAGTAGACTTGGCTGGCTTAAGGATTTCTCTGGAATATGATTGCTGCTGGCACTGGTGCATGGATTGGCCGAGTTCCTGGGGATCTAATGAGGCAGTTGCAGTTTATATTGATTTCTTTTCCGATCTTTTCCGATTCCTGTATTCTTGTTTACATCTACATATGTATCTCTATATATATATATATATGTATGTGTGTGGAGAGAGACGAGTTGTTAGCTTGCTGAGGTCGATTGGAACGGCTGCGTTCGCTACAATCTAACAAACCACCCAGACATATAGACGGACAATTCCTTTAGCTTAGTTATGGTCTAGTTCGCCCGGGCTTCACTGTGATCGGGCTGTGCCTGGCTTGCGCCTTGGCGCGCCGTTAATAAAGCTCCGTGTGCTGACGCACTGGTGCCGGAATCTTGGACAGGCCGCGCTCCCTGCGTGGCGATATGACTGCAGCAGCAGCGCCAGCAACTCCAGCTGAATTGTTGCTGCCGCAGGAGGAGGCGGCCGAGCTGCGCTTGGAGCGCGCCTTGGCCGGCGGTGAGCAGCTCTCGGAGCGCTCCAAATTGCCGTTGCTGTGCACCCAGGCCGATGTGAAGTCCTCGTAGACGGGCGTCTTCTTGCCATTGCCCGACCGTTGCTGCTGCTGCTGCTGTTGCTGTTGCTGCTGCTGTGGCTGTTGCTTCTGTTGATTGCCGGCGGCATAGCGATAGAGCAGCGACTTCATCTTCTCCAGAATCTGTGCATCGTTCTTGGCACTGCTCGCCGCCTCGAGCAGCTGCTGGGCCAGCGGCGAGGCGGCGTGGTTCTTCACGGGCGACGTCGTCAGCGAGCTGCTGCAGCCGCCGCGCACCCGCCGACCGTTGCTGTCGTAGAGGATCTGCGAGTGGCGCGTCTTGCTGCCGCGCTCGAAGGGCGACGGCGACGGCGACGTGGATGTCGCAGCGGCGGCGCCAGTGGGCGGCGCAAATGTGTCCGGATTGATGGTGGGCCGCTTCTTGCTGGCGGCGCCGCCGCTCTGGGGTGCACTGCGTCCGCTCCACGTGTTGGTCACGTCGCGCACCAGCGGCAGCTGCGAGGCCTTCGGCCTGGGCGTGGCCGGCGGGCGACGCACCGACCGATAGACGGGCTGCTTCCGGTTGATGCTGTGCAAGTCCTGCAGGCTGCCGCCGTTGCTGCTGCCGCAGGTGCTGTTGTCGATGCTGCTGCGGCGCCGACGGCTGGCGAGGGGCGAGCGCGGTATCTTGCTGAGACCAGCTGCCGGCGACGCCTTGCTGCCGCCTGCCTCTGCCTGCTTCGCTGCCACTGCCACTGGCACTGCCACTGGCACCGCCTCTGCTGGGGCTGTGGTCACTGTAATCTCATCATCCGTTATGAAGACGCCGGACTGCTCGAACTTGCTGACGCCGGCGGTCTTGCGCCAGGGCAGCACAGCGGGCAGCGATTGGGGTCCGTCCAGTTCGCAGATGGAGTAGTCTGGCGACGGCTCTGCTTCCTGCACACAATTCGTCTTGAGTTCCACCTCTGGCACTGGCTCCTGCTCCTGCTCCTGCTCCCGCTCCCGCTCCCGTTCGTGCTCCTGTTCGTGCTCATCCGTGGGCGAGCTCTGCGAGTCGCTTGACGTTTGATCGAGACGCGCTGTCGAGGAGAGGAACAAATTCAAGTCGTCTACGCTGATCAGAGAGATCTCCACGAGCTGCCATCGGTACTCACCATTCGTTTCAGCGTCCTCGATGGAGGCCTGACTGTGCAGGGACTCGCGCTTCTGTGCATTCGACTGGATGACGCCCAAGCTGCGGTAGCCCTCGTCGCTGATCTCGCTGCCATTGTCGCTGATGTTCTCGAACTTGTTGCTCTGCTCGGGCTGGGCGATGGCGGCGACTGTTGCCGCCGACGACGACGACGATGACGCGGACTCCTCCTGCCCATCGGAGCCTCCGGCGCCCGAGCCAGCGGGCAGCGACTTCGGTCCGCTGCTGTAGCCGTCCAGCGAGCTCTGCTTCTTGCGCATATCGTTGATGCGCCGCTGGCTGGGCGACATGGAGCGTCGCGCCAGGTAGGGCGAGCCCTGCGGCAACGGCTCCACGGTCTGGGCCAATCCGTTTGTCTGGTTCAAGAACTTGCGCTGTGGCGTCGGGCTGCGACTGCGATGCTTCACGGCGGCGGCGACGGCGCTGGCGCCATTGGATGCTAGGCTGGCATTGGGTGAGGTGCCGCCAGGTGCGGCAGCGGCTGGTGAAACGGCACCGGAACCGGAACCGGAACCAGTTGCACCGTTCGATAACACGCGTCGAGCTGCTGGTGGTGAGCTGCAAAACATCGATAATGTCATAAGTAATCGATAGGCAAAAGTTTAACGGATACAAGATGTCCGTTAATTCAAAGATTTGGATGTTTTTTAAATTTCCTATATATGTTTATTCAATGTATCATATCGTATAGCTCTAATAGAAAATATGGTATAATAAATAAAGCAATGGGTGATATAAGTTCCGTTATATGTATATACATTCTTTAATCTATAACTGTATGTATATCAATTTAAAAAATAATCTATGTATTATAATCTATATATACATATATACATTTATCTTCTACAGTTTTACTGCCTACCAGCTAACAGCGTAAACCCCCATTGATTTGCTCTAGGGTCTATATATAGTCTATAGTGTATACTTTTTCCACAGTTACCTCACAGATCATATAAAATTTACTCAAGTGGGTGTGACGCATCGTTTCCAAACTATATTAGTATCGGTATAAAATCATAAGCGATTTTCGCCTTTACATCAGAGTTCAGAGCCCTCACAGTAAAATTTTTATTTTGTAATAAAATGTGGAGAGAGTATTAAGCAGTCGCTAGAGCACATTTGTTTTTTATTGGCTTTTCTAGTTGTTTACCCCGGTATGCATTGTTATTTTTTATTTCATAATAGATTTACTTCGGCGTTTCGATATCTTATCGCTTTCCAATAGAACTTACAAGTCTATAAATAAATAACTGTAATTGCCCACATCAGAACACTGATTAGTTATAGGAATGATCCAACGACAATGTTCTATATACTCGTATATCAATTGTTAAACGAAAAAGAAAACCACAAAAGGTATTTCCCGACATAAAATGGGTATATTTCAAAATTAAAGTTGAATGTGTTGTGGCATGACTCATCAGAAAGTATTACTCCCAAAAACTATGTCCTCTATAGTTTCCTAATGTACTATATATATGTATATATAGTTGCTCTGGCAGACCTCAAAGAGACCGGCTGAGTCTATTTACGCTTTATGGTGTCTGGTTCACATTGATAGGGACTAGGGTGCAGACAACACACAGCTCTTATCTCTCCAGAGTGCAATAATAAACAAAGTCGCGTTATAACGGACTTGTAATGGGTCAGACATGTGCCATAGAATATAGCTAGTATTAATGGGAATTACGTTCATCTAGTATACAGAAGAAGGTCGATATTCATATGGAATTTCTGGTTAATCAAATGCTTTGAGCTTGTTAAGTTGGCTGCGCTTCAAGCTGAAAACAAGCTAAAAATTGTTTGGGCCTGCTAACACCAGATAGCTGCACACACTCCAAAAAGGAGACTCTGAGCGGAGAGCAGCAGGCAGCAGGCAGGAGGCATCTGCTGAATGAGCGCGTTAATTCATGAATGAATTCGTTTCGAATGCATTTGACGACTATTCACAGCAACGCCTCGCTTTAGCCTGAGCTGGCTGCGAGTGTGTCTTTAATGGAGCTTGTTAATGGGCCACTTGGCGCGACTCGTTGCGGATTCTGTGTGCGCCTGCTTCTGGAGCTCGCAACGCACTCGCACCGTCATTATCCGGCTTTATGCATGCAATTAGCGGGGCGATAACAACTTAATGCATCCAGCCCCATCGTGTGGCTAATGTGGAGGGTCGGGTGGATAGGGGGTAGGGGGGTAGGGGGGTGTCTGGGCTAGTTATTAACCTGCTAGTGAGCGGGTCACTCACCGTTCGTATATCACATGCGCCTTGTGCAGCTCAATGCCATTGCCGGAATTGCTCGTGTTGCGGATCATCAGACGCGCCTGCAGCGAGCTGCGATGCTGGGCCCGACACCGGCAGGGATCGTGCTTGTCCAGATAATGGGAGAGCGTGTCCCAGCCTCCGCCCACGCGGACCATCACGTGCGAGCGCAAGATCTGCAAATAGAAAATGTCAAGGTGAGATCCAGGGCAGAAGAAGCTGATTGCTCTCAATATGGGGATATGTGTATAATCTCTTAAAAATGCCTATCGATATATATATGTATGATTATCGGAATTTATATCGAATTTGACAATTGACAATAAAGATATCTATTAAGTTATAGAATAGGCAGATGAATAGGGTGGCATAGAAGAGGGCGGAGAGATAGAATAAAGAACGGGCAGAGGACAGTAAAGGATGGACTGACTACAGGATAGATAAACAGATTGAATATATTGATAGATTGAATGGGGGGCGGACAGACTGAAGGACGGTCAGAGTGAAGGACAGATAGACAGCCAGACTGAAGAGAGGACGGACAGAGTTAAGCACGGAAAGTTCGACTGACTGGCAGATGGACAGACTAAAGGATCGTCAGTCAAGTAAAATCATAGACAGACTGAAAGACAGACAGAACAGGAAGATATATGTATATCTATGTATCGGCTTTTGATAGAGATCCGCGAATAAATTGAATGAAATGATTGCAGAGTTCCATTTAGCGATAAAAATGTAAAATTAGCAGAAAGCTTAAAGGCAAGTTTAGCGAAAAGCTCAATAATTACTAATTATATAAAAGCTCGAGTGAAAGCTACGTGTTAAGTTGGGCAAACGCTTTAGCTAGAACTCGAAGCTGAAGAGCTGGAATTTTATACGTAAGCTTAAATGAAGGGCCAGTGAAAGTAAAGCTATACTTTCAGCGTAATTGGTTTATATACGAAATCTCCTTTAAAATATAAGCAAGAATGTTCGTAAGGAACGAAACTTTAGTTAAAAATTTCCCTCACCTTTAAAAGGAAAAAAGCTAAAAATTTGACTTGAAATTAAAACAGATGTCATATATTTCTATACTCAAAAGTTGAACAAAAATTCCAGGTAGATGAAGCCATGGTTGAAGCGAAAGTGAAGTTTTTTCTAGAAGCTAGCTAAAAAGCCAGATTAAAATATTGTAATTCCCTCACCCTTAAAAGGAATAAAGCTATAAATTTATTTAAAAGTTTGGCTTGAAATTAAAACAGATCTCAGATATTTATTTCTACACTCGAAAATTCCAGCTAGAATCTAAGCCATGATTGAAGCGAGAAAGAAGTTTTGTCTAGAGGCTAGCTAAAAAGCCAGATGCAAATATTGTAATTCCCTCTTATAGGGAATAAAGCTAAAAATGTAGCTAAAAGTTTGGCTTGAAATTAAAACAGATCTCAGATATTTATTTCTACACTCGAAAATTCCAGCTAGAATCTAAGCCATGA